GACAACACAACCCACCTCATTCTGTATATTGTTGACCTACCAATCATCACTGACAACACAACCCACCTCATTCTCTATATTGTTGACCTACCAATCATCACTGACAACACAACCCACCTCATTCTCTATATTGTTGACCTACCAATCATCACTGACAACACAGCCCACCTCATTCTGTATATTGTTGACCTACTAATCATCACTGACAACACAACCCACCTCATTCTCTATATTGTTGACCTACCAATCATCACCGACAACACAGCCCACCTCATTCTCTATATTGTTGACCAACCAATCATCACCGACAACACAGCCCACCTCATTCTCTATATTGTTGACCAACAAATCATCACTGACAACACAGCCCACCTCATTCTGTATATTGTTGACCTACCAATCATCACCGACAACACAATCCACCTCATTCTCTATATTTTTGACCTACCAATCTTCACCGACAACACAACCCACCTCATTCTCTATATTGTTGACCTTCCAATCATCACTGACAACACAACCCACATCATTCTCCAAATTGTTGACCTACCAATCATCACTGACAACACAACCCACCTCATTTACACTATCACTGCACTACAAACAACAAAGACATCAGCTCATATAATATTGCATTTATTTCTTTTATTAAATTTAATTGGGCATGAAATGTAGATAATTACATAATAATCCTAGTTCCTGCTAGTAAACATTACAGGTAGTGGCCACATTACTAAGACCACACTCCTGAGAGTGTAAACATTGCAGGTAGTGGCCGAATTACTAAGACTGCACTCCTGAGAGTGTAAACATTACAGGTAGGGGCCACATTACTAAGACTGCGCTCCTGAGAGTGTAAACATTGCCGGTAGTGGCCGAATTACTAAGACCACACTCCTGCGAGTGTAAACATTACAGGTAGTGGCCACATTACTAAGACCACATCCCTGAGAGTGTAAACATTACAGGTAGTGACCTCATTACTAAGACCCCACTCCTGAGAGTGTAAACATTACAGGTAGTGGCAACATTACTAAGACCACACTCCTGAGAGTGTAAACTTTACAGGTAGTGGCCACATTACTAAGACCACACTACTGAGAGTGTAAACATTACAGGAAGTGGCCACATTTCTTAGACCACTCCTGAGAGTGTAAACATTACAGGTAGTGGCAACATTACTAAGACCACACTCCTGAGAGTGTAAACATTACAGGTAGTGGTCACATTACTAAGACTGCACTCTTGAGAGTGTAAACATTACAGGTAGGGGCCACATTACTAAGACTGCACTCCTGAGAGTGTAAACATTACAGATAGTGGCCACATTACTAAGACCACACTCCTGAGAGTGGAAACATTACAGGTAGTGGTCACATTACTAAGACTGCACTCTTGAGAGTGTAAACATTACAGGTAGTGGTCACATTACTAAGACTGCACTCTTGAGAGTGCAAACATTACAGGTAGTGGTCACATTACTAAGACTGCACTCTTGAGAGTGCAAACATTACAGGTAGTGGTCACATTACTAAGACTGCACTCTTGAGAGTGTAAACATTACAGGTAGGGGCCACATTACTAAGACCACACTCCTGAGAGTGGAAACATTACAGGTAGTGGTCACATTACTAAGACTGCACTCTTGAGAGTGCAAACATTACAGGTAGTGGTCACATTACTAAGACTGCACTCTTGAGAGTGTAAACATTACAGGTAGTGGCCACATTACTAAGACCACAGTCCTGACAGCATGGACATGATCATTATACAACATTTAAGGATGATCTCTATAACATTATCATTAATTATACAACATTTTAGGATGTTCTGTGTAACATCATCAATAAAGATATTTTGCATACATGTAACGATGCACTTGTATAGAACAGTTTGTATTTGGCACCAGTATTATATGTGTACATCACAGTGTTAAATCTCTTCAACACTAAACATGATATGTACATTGTCATTGTGTCATTTAGCTGTTTGTTCATTATGTGTACACATCTTAAACAATGTCCTTGCTCAACTGACCAGTTATTACACCCTCCATCCCTCACCCAATATCAAACTCCTCCCTGTGTCTGATAACCCTAGCCCCTCCATCCCTCACCCAATATCAAACTCCTCCCTCTGTCTGATAACCCTAGCCCCTCCATCCCTCACCCAATATCAAACTCCTCCCTGTGTCTGATAACCCTAGCCCCTCCATCCCTCACCCAATATCAAACTCCTCCCTCTGTCTGATAACCCTAGCCCCTCCATCCCTCACCCAATATCAAACTCCTCCCTGTGTCTGATAACCCTAGCCCCTCCATCCCTCACCCAATATCAAACTCCTCCCTCTGTCTGATAACCCTAGCCCCTCCATCCCTCACCCAATATCAAACTCCTCCCTGTGTCTGATAACCCTAGCCCCTCCATCCCTCACCCAATATCAAACTCCTCCCTCTGTCTGATAACCCTAGCCCCTCCATCCCTCACCCAATATCAAACTCCTCCCTGTGTCTGATAACCCTAGCCCCTCCA